GCAAGGCCGTACTTGGAACATCAAAGGAGGCTCAATGAAGCTATGCAAGAAGTGGTAAAGAAAGAAGTGATCAAGTGGCTAGATGCAGGTGTGGTGTATCCAATCTCCGATAGCTCATGGACTTCTCCGGTGCAATGTGTGCCGAAGAAGGGTGGAATGATTGTGGTGACTAATGACAACAATGAACTTATTCCCACTCGGACTGTCATCGGGTGGAGAGTTTGCATGGACTACCGGAAGCTAAATAAGGTGACCCGCAAGGATCATTTCCCTTTGCCATTCCTTGACCAAATGCTTGATCGCCTTGTGGGCGAGCTTTTTATTGCTTTTTGGATGGATATTCGGCTTATAATCAAATCTTAATTGCTCTGGAGGACCAAGAGAAGACCACATTCACCTGCCCATATGGTACATTTGCTTTTTCTCGGATGCCGTTCGGGTTGTGCAATGCTCCGGCGACCTTCCAACGATGCATGATGGCTATTTTCACCGATATGGTGGAAGACATTTTGGAGGTCTTTATGGATGATTTCAGTGTGGTTGGTGATTCATTTGAAGAGTGTTTGGGAAATTTGGATAGAGTCTTGGCCCGATGTGAAGAAACTAATCTTGTTCTCAATTGGGAAAAATGCCATTTCATGGTTGAAGAAGGTATAGTGTTGGGTCACAAGATTTCTAAGCATGGGATTGAGGTAGACAAAGCTAAGATTGGTGATTTCGAGGCTTCCTCCCCCCACTTCTGTCAAAGGGGTGAGGAGTTTCCTTGGGCATGCCGGGTTTTACCGGCGTTTTATCAAGGATTTTTCGAAGGTTGTGAATCCCCTTTGCAAGTTGCTTGAGAAAGAGGCTAAGTTTGTGTTTGATGAGAAATGCATGGAGGCCTTTGAACTTCTTAAGCTCAAGTTGACCACCACCCCGATCATTACCGCACCCAATTAGAGTTTGCCCTTCGAGCTGATGTGCGATGCAAGTGACGTAGCGGTTGGGGCGGTGTTGGGTCAATGAGTGAACAAAATGTTCCATCCCGTGTACTATGCGAGCAAGACAATGAATGAAGCTTAAAGGAATTACACGGTGACAGAGAAGGAATTATTGGCTATAGTGTTTGCCATGGAAAAATTTAGGCCATATCTTATGGGGGCCAAGGTAATTGTGCACACCGACCATGCCGCCCTTAGGTATTTGATGACAAGAAAGACTCCAAGGCAAGATTGATGTGATGGGTGTTACTTCTTCAAGAGTTTGATTTGGAAATAGTGGATCAGAAAGGTAGTGAAAACCAAGTTGCGGATCATTTGTCCCGCTTGGAGGAGGAAGGAAGGCCGTGTGATGGCTTGGAGATCAATGATACATTCCCCGATGAGCAACTACTTTCTGTGTCAATGAATGAAATGCTATGGTTTGCCGATGTTGCTAATTACCTCGTGACCGGAATAATCCCGTGTGAGCTCTCTTCTCACCAAAGGAAGAAGCTCAAGCGGGATAGTTTGGATTTCTATTGGGATGAGCCATACTTGTTTAAGATTTGCACGGATGGTGTGATTCGAAGGTGTGTCCCGGAGGGAGAGCAATTGAGTATTTTGGAGGCTTGTCATTCATCCCCCTATGGTGGCCATCATGGAGGGGTGAGAACGGCTTCGAAAGTTTTGAGTTGTGGTTTTTATTGGCCAACCTTGTTCAAAGATGCAAGTGATTTAGTGAGAAGATGTGATCAATGTCAACGAGCGGGCGGGATTTCCAAGAAAGATGAGATGCCTCTAAACACAATTCTTGAGGTAGATATTTTCGATGTTTGGGGTATCGATTTTATGGGCCCTTTTGTTAGCTCGTGTGGGAACACCTACATTCTTGTAGCGGTTGATTATGTGTCAAAATGGGTTGAGGCCGTGGCCTTGCCCAACAATGAAGCTAGAAGTGTGGTGGCATTTCTAAAGAAGAGCATTTTCACAAGGTTTGGTACACCCTGGGCAATCATTAGTGATGGAGGATCGCATTTTTGTAATAGAGCTTTTGATACCTTGCTATCCAAGTATGGTGTCAACCACAAAGTCTCTACACCTTATCATCCTCAAGTAAGTGGCCAGGTTGAAGTGTCTAACAGGGAGATCAAGAGCATTTTATCCAAAACTGCCAATGCCAATAGGACCGATTGGTCTAAAAAGTTAGATGATGCTTTATGGGCTTACCAGACCGCTTACAAGACCCCAATTGGTATGTCACCGTACCGGTTGGTGTTTGGGAAAGCATGTCACCTACCATTAGAATCGGAGCATAAGGCCATGTGGGCCTTGAGGAAGCTTAATCTTGAGTGGGATGTTGCGGCCAATCTTCGTGTTGAACAACTCAATGAACTTGATGAATTTCGGTTCCATGCATACTCTAGTTCGTCATTGTACAAGGATAAGATGAAGTACCTTCATGACAAATATGCTCGTGGAAAGGAGTTCAAAGTTGGTGATTTGGTCCTCTTGTTCAATTCTCGTCTAAGGTTGTTTCCGGGAAAGCTGAATCTAAGCGGAGTGGTCCATTTGAAGTTGTGTGTGTGACCCCATTTGGTGCTCTAGATTTGAAGGAAAAAGTGGTGAAGTTTTTAGAGTGAATGGTCACCGTGTCAAGCATTATCTTTGGAAGTTTGATGATAGCCATGTGGTGGCTGTTGTTCATTTGAAATGATGTGATGGTAACCCGCGTCGTGCCGCGACGTTAAATCAGGCGCTTCTTGGGAGGCAACCCATGTCCTTTTCTTCTTGTTTTCTTTGATTTTCTTTGTAGTTTAGGTTTGATTTTTGGACTAACTGGTTGTGAGATGTTGCAGGGATTGTGTTGATGCAGTGCAAAACATTTTGGAAAAATCGAACAGTCTCTGAAGTTGCCAGTGCGGCCGCATTGCACTTTGTGCGGTCCGCACTGGTGAAGGCCAAGTGAGGTACTCCGCAGTGGACCTCCGCGGTCGCGGTCTATTTTGTGCGGGCCGCGGAGGTTGCCTTCTCAAACTTCTTCTGAACAAACCCAGCGCGATCCGTAGTCCGTTTTATGCGGCCGCGCTGGTAGGTAAGGCTGGGTCCCACTGTTTTTCTATAAATAGACCCCAGGGGTCACCGGTTACACTTTTCTAAAGTTTAACACTCAGAACCCTAAAAGTTACTTTTCATCTTCTCTATTGCACGTAAATCTTTGCCTAGACTGAATTCTTGCATTCCATCTTCACATCTGGTACCATTTCATCCATTTTTCTTTGTTTAATTTTATAATTTCATTTTATTTTCATGTCCAGTAGCCCATAGCTTCTTCTTCTTATTTCTATTTGTTAGCTTAGGTTAGTATAAATGTTGGATTTTGTGTGTTTGGTGAACTTGTTGAACTGGGTACAATTGAGTAGGGACAAGTTAGGAGAAAAATTTGAACAAGATTGCAAAAACTAAAACCCTAACTCAGTGCCTGAGCTAAGCACCCTCCGCGGACCGCGGTCGCCTTTGCGCGGTCCGCCATGCCCTGACGCGGTCCGCAGTATCACTTTGTGCGGACCGCGGTGCTCATGTTCTTGAAAGTTAACCTGTGCCCAGCGCGGCCGCATTGCACTTTATGCGGTCCGCGCTGGCCCACCGCGGCCGCGATACCACTTTGTGCGGTCCGCGGTGGGGAGATTCAGAGAGGTGGTTTTCTAGACCCTGCCCCAATGCGGACCGCGGTGGCTTTTATGCGGTCCGTGGTGCCTCCAGTGCGGCCGCACTCCTGTTTGTGCGGGCCGCGGTGCACTGTGTCTGCAACATGTCCTGCAACTTTTGGGCTTCTGTTCTGCAATTCATTTTTCATCTGTTTCACTGCCTGTGCTTAGACTAACAATGTTAGATGTGTGTGCTTGCAGATAATGGTCAAACAAAGAGGTAGAGCTGCAAAACAACCCGGCCGAGGTGACTCTTCCCGGGGAGGGAAGCAAAAGATGATAAAGCTCACTCCCCAAGTTCGGGAAAGTACAAAGAGACTGAGAAAAGCAATTAAAGTTGCAGACAAGGCTGCTTCTCATTCATCGGGGAGTGAGTACGAACCTTCGCGGGATATTTCCTCAGATTCCATTCCAACCCATGTCCCTGACTGGCCCGGGAGGTTTAGACTGACTGATGACACTCCTCCACAATCACCCACTAGCCGACGGCCAATCAATGTTGTGCATGAGTCCTCTGAGGGCTCGGCATCCGGTAGTGGGGACTACTCCACCTCCCCCACAGCTTCTTTGTCTGGGGAGAGTGCAGAAGGAGGCGAGGAGGAGGTTCAAGGTGCTAGAGAGGTACAGGGGGGTGGTGAGCCTCAAGTTGGGGGTATTGAACGGACTAGAAATCCCGCAGTTTGGGAGGATAGGTTCGTCAGCCAGGTAGCGTTCCACAAGTTTAGGGAATGGTGGCCACTACGAAAGCTGATTCTTGAGAGGAGTTTTATTGAGCGAGACCTTCTACCCCTACACCCAAATGTGCATAGACAGTTTCAAACTCGAGTGGGTTGGGAGCATTTTCGGGATGATTGTGTGAAGGCGAATGAGCATATGGTCAAGGAGTTCTATAGCAATGTGGCCCACATCTTGAAGGGTACTAAAGTGACCAAAGTGCGGAACAAAAATGTGGTATTTACTGGGAAGGCAATCAATGAATACTTGGGGTTCAACGAAGAAGATGAAACCCTTTACAATGAAAAGTTGGCAATGGGCGAAGAGGTTCGTCCGTGGTTAGCTTCATACCTGGCAATCCCGGGTACTGTTCCAGAGTGGTTGCAAGCAGGGACCAAAATACTTCGGAGGACTCTCAATTTTGAGGCTAGGGGGTGGTTGACTTTCGTGTGCAGTCAACTTGACCCCACTACCCATGATCAGACTATTCCACTTGCCCGGGCTGTTCTTATTGCATCTATTATGGCGGGCTATCCTATCAACGTGGGCAATGTGATCCCGTGTCATTTCTGCAGTGAGGGTTGAGCATGACCGGAACTACCCTTTTCCCAACACCCTCACTATGTATTTCCGGGACCTGAAGGTGGAGAAGAAACCCTTTGATGTCAAAGTAAAACCTGTGGCTCCATTTTCATGGTACAGTTTAAAGGGGCCAGATAACCCCAAGGACAAGAATTACAAGCCACCTCCCTCTGCCCCAACTGGCCAGTCTGAAGAGCCGGTTGTGGTAGAGCCATCCATAGAGCCCTCCACTGAGCCTATCTCCACTGAGCCTGCCTCTACGGTCGCTGACATGCCTCCCGGACCTTCCTCTACTGCTGGTCCCTCTACTTCAGCTAGCCCGGGGATTCCATCTTCCCGGGCCCATCCTATCACTGCCCACCAACTGAGCCAGACACTGCATAGCTTGAACAACTGGATGTCACTTGCATCATCCAAGTTGCCCACATTGTCTTCTTCTATTGCGGCTCAGTCGGCACCACAGCCAGCGCAGATTCCACAGTCCATTGAGGATACATTGAAGAATCTCCTGGAGAACCAGGAAAAGATTATCAGTACTCAGACGGCCTTGTCTAAGGCAGTGGATTCACATGGCAAGGCTCAGAAGGAGCTTGCCAGGGAGCACAAGAAACTGCGAAAAATACGGGCTTCCAAGGAGTCTGTGAAGGAGCTTAGAGCAGATGTGGACAAGCTGAAGGCAGACTCACTGCCTTTAGACTTTCTATTTGGGGATCCAGCTCCAGCAGCAGTACCAGCAGCAGAGCCACAGCGGGAGCAGACACAAAGGCTTCCAAGGAAGAAGAGGAAGCTCCCCAGTGCAGATGAGGCGATCATCCAGTTGGCGGACCCACCGGAGGCCTCCTCCAGTCAGCCACAGGATGCCCCTGATATTCAGCCTGTCCAGGTCCAGGCCCCAGTCCCAGCAGCTGAGCAGCAGGATACCGGGAACTAGTCTGAGGTTCCCGAGCATACCAAGGACCCAGGGACCACTCATGATCCTATGCAGACGGACGAGGCTTAGGGAGTCTTCATATCCTTTCCTTATATTTTTTGGTGCTTATTTTGCTTTAGTTGGCATTGGGGACAATGCCAGCTTTTATTTGAGGGGGTGTGCCCTACTTTTTTTCCATGGATGACTGTATATATATACTGATTTAGTTTATGCTTTCTTTCATTTTTCATTTGGTCTGTATATATTCTTACATTTTAGTTACTTTTATCGCACTTTTTATCTTTCATTTGGTCTGTATATAAAGTTACATTATTGTATATATTCATCCCCCGTTGTATATTCATTCCCCTATTGTACATATTCATTCTATTTTCTATTTTCGCAAAAAAATTTCATTTTTAGCTTCTTACATAGGCTCGTAGCCTTTTTTTTTGTTTTGGACGTTTTAATAAGCCTTTGGTTTTTTTAATGCCACGGTTCTTTCCAAAGGTGGAGTATTGTGTGAACCGGGTGGCTCTTCCCAATGATAGATGGCGTGACAACCTTCTTAAGGGTTTGAGTCCGTTTTTTGTTTTTGTTTTTGGTAGTTTATAGTTAAGGGTACCTCAAGCAAAGCTTCACTTGGGCCTAGCACATTTGCCTTTGATCCCATGGTCAAAGACAAAATGTTGTGTTTAGGATGGTGAAAGTTGTGGCCTTGAGACTCTTGCGTTGGCCGATAATCATCAAGTGGTTTTTCGGGACCATTGTGTGCTCAAATCATATCTAAGGTTGTTGTGGGCCCCTGACTCTATGTCTTTAGCAATCCCCTAGCTTGTGTGGTGAGAAATCGAATTGCGAGTCCAAGTCCCGGGCCATTGATCTAGAACTTGCCCTGAATGTTTGTTGAGGCGAAATCTTAAGTGAAATTTGACTTGAGAAGTGATTATAGGCTCTCCTTGATCCAAATGATAGCTGAACAAATTCCATAGCCTACCAATGATATGATCCCTAGTTAACCCCTTTTGAGCCTTAGACCTTTTTCTTTCAAGAACCATGTTACAAGCCTATACCCGTTCTAAAAGATACCCTCTCTTGGCACCCGATCTTTCCTTGAGCACATGGTAAAAGTATAAGTTTGGGGGAGAGACGAAGATGACAACAAAGTGGTATAAGGCACAAAAATGAAGAAAAGGAAAGGCAATGAAAAAGAAAGAAAAGCAAAAAGACAAAAAGAATGCACAATGAGAGAAAGAATAAAAAGGGATTCAAGAAAAATAAAAGAAAGAAAGGTGTGGAAAGTTGAAAAAGGAGAAAAGGTTTGAAATGCATAAGAAAGAGTGACAATGTGTCTCTCTAACCCCTTAGAAAGAGGTGAAATGGCTCAAAGAGTCAAGTGAATTGTGCCAAATGAATCAAAAGAAGTGTTTAAGGGAAGATGGAACCCACTTGAACAAAACATGACCTACCCTAACCAAAAGCCTTCACAATGACTCCACAAAAGCCCTATATGATCTTGAGTTGAATGAAACTTACATTAGTGGATACTTACATAAGGGGCAAGCATATGGTACCTAGAGCCGGACTTGTGACCTTTTCTTGAGAGAGATGAGTGAATTCCCATTAACCTCGGTTTGTGTGCCAATACTCTAAAAGGTGAGGTTTGTTTAGGAAGAGTTGAGGATGTGTGAGTTTGGGTTCCACAATGACCAAAGTAATTGAGAGAGTTCTTTGATGTAATGAGTCAACTCTTGATGCTCTTGTGTCACGCTTGATCCATGGTTTTTCAAAGGTCAAATGTTGTTAATGATGCATCCGTATTGAGGGCAATTGTTAGTCCCAATTGATGCTTGTTGAGGTTACTTTAGGATAGCTGGAAATTCTTGGATTTTACCTTAAGGGATGGGTCTTATTTTGTTTGCTTGACGACAAGCAAAAGCTTAAGTTTGGGGGAGTTGATAACTAGGGATTTTGTAGTATTTTATGCTCCTTCTTGCTTACGCTTTGGTTATTAATTGTTACAAAAATAGTCCCAAAAGACTCATAAGTCTACTTGTTTGCAGGTTTGATCAACAAAGTGACGACATGTCAAAGTTCGGCTCAAAAGGAGTAAAACTTGCTCAAGTACAAAAGACAGGGCAAACTAAGGGCAAAAAGGCCTAGTGCGGCCGCATTCGACTTTGTACGGTCCGCACTAGGTAGATTCAGAGAGATGGCAAAACTAGGCTTCAGGCAACGCGGCCGTGGTACACATAGCGGGGTCCGCGGTGAAGGCTCCGAGGCTGCACTACCAGTTTGTGTGGTCCGCGGAAGAGAGATTCAGAGAGCTAACATTTGTCATGGTTCAAGCTGCGCAGTCCGCGGTCATACTTGTGCGGACCGCATTAGAGACCTCCGCGGCCGCGGTCCATTCTACCCGGTCCGCGGAGCCCAAGTTCAGAGAGCCCAGATTTTGAAGTCCAAGAGCCTAGTGCGGCCGCGGTCCATTTTGTGCGCCCCGCACTGACCCCGCAGGGGTATTTTGGTCCAGTTTTTCCAGCCTAGTATAAATAGAACATTTTACCATTTTTTGGGAAAATCAGTTAATTCCAGAACAGAGCTGCGCTCGTGAGAACCTCAATTGTAGCCATTTTTGGCATCTTAGCTTCAAATTAACAATAGATTCTTGTATTTTAATTTAGCATTTAATTAATATGTCTTGTTCTTCATCTATTTCTTCATTTTCTCCTTCAAGCATGAGTAGCTAAACCCATTAGCTAGGGTTGTGGCTCAACCCTAGCGTGGGTAATTGATGGGTGTTGCCATCTAGGGTTAGATTGACTATGGGTGTTTGCTATTTGGGTTGATTTTATGTTTTAATCTATGAATTGGTGGTTGCAAACACTGATTTATGCTTTGTGGATTTGACTCTTCTTGAGAAAGAGAGTCTAAGTTTCCCAAAATTGACCCAACAAGGAATTGGGATGGACTCATGAGAAATGATAGTCCCAATTAACGGGTTAAGCCTCGAGAGAGTAATCACCCTACTNAGAACCAGGAAAAGATCATCAGTACTCAGGATGCCTTGTTTAAGGCAGTGGATTCACACGGCAAGGCTCTGAAGGAGCTTTCCAGGGAGCACAGGAAACTGCGCAAAACACGGGCTTCCAAGGAGTCTGTGAAGGAGCTTAGAGCAGATGTGGACAAGCTGAAGGCAGACCAGCTGCCCTTAGACTTGCTATTTGAGGATCCAGCTCCAGCAGCAGTACCAGCAGCAGAGCCACAGCAGGAGCAGACACAGAAGCTTCCTAGGAAGAAGAGGAAGCTCCCCAGTGCAGATGAGGCGATCATTCAGTTGGCAGACCCACCGGAGGCCTCCTCCAGTCAGCCACAGGATGCCCCTGATATTCGCCTGTCCAGGTCCAGGCCCTAGTCCCAGGCTCCCAGCAGCTAAGCAGCAGGAGACCGGGAACCAGTCTGAGGTTCCCGCGCATACAGAGGATCCGGGGACCATTCATGATCCCATGCAGAAGGATACGGCTTAGGGAGTCATCTATATCCTTTTTCTCTCTTTTTAGTGCTTATTTAGACTAGTTGGCATTGGGGACAATGCCAGCTTCTATTCGAAGGGGTGCGCCCTTCATTTTTGGATGACTGTAAATATTGATACTATTTTATGCTTTCTTGATTTTTCATTTGGTCTGTATATAATCTTACATTTAGTTACTTTTGTCGTACTTTTTATCTTTTCTTTGGTCTGTATATAAAGTTACATCATTGTATATATTCATTCCCCGTTGTATATTCACTCCCCTATTGTACATATTCATTCTATTTTCTATTTTCGCAAAAAAAAAATTCATTTTTAGCTTCTTATATAGTCTCGTAGCCTTTTGTTTTGCTTTGGACGTTTTAATAAGCCTTTGGTTTTTTAATGCCACGGTTCTTTCCAAAGGTGGAGTATTGTGTGATCCGGGTGGCTCTTCCCAATGATAGATGGCGTGACAACCTTCTTAAGGGTTTGAGTCCGTTTTTATTTTTCTTGTTTTTTGGTAGTTTATAGTTAAGGGTACCTCAAACAAAGCTTCACTTGGGCCTATCACATTTGCCTTTGATCCCATGGTCAAAGACAAGTGGTTGTGTTTAGGATGGTGAAAGTAGCGACCTTGAGACTCTTGTATTGACCAAACAATCATCATGTGGTTTTTTGGAACCATTGTGTGCTCAAATCGTATCTAAGGTTGTTGTGGGCCCTCTACTCTATGTCTTTAGCAATCCCCTAGCTTGTGTGGTGAGAAATCGAATTGCGAGTCCAAGTCCCGAGCCATTGGTCTAGAACTTGCCCTAAATGTATGTTGAGGCGAAATCTTGAGTGAAATTTGACTTGAGAAGTGATTATAGGCTCTCCTTGATCCAAATGATAGTTGAGCAAATTCCATAGCCTACCAATGATATGATCCCTAGTTAAACCCTTTTGAGCCTTAGACCTTTTTCTTTCAAGAACCATGTTACAAGCCTATACCCGTTCTAAATTATACCCTCTCTTGGCACCCGATATTTCCTTGAGCAATGGCAAAAGTATAAGTTTTGGGGGAGAGACGAGAAAGGGAACAAAGTGGTAAAAGGTACAAAAGCAAAGAAAAGGAAGGCAATGAAAAAGAAAAGAAAAGAAAAAGACAAAAAGAAAGCCCAATGTGAAAATGATCTCAAAGGGATTCAAGAAAAGCAAAGAAAGAAAGGCGTGGAAAGTTGAAAAAGGAGAAATGGTTTGAAACGCAAAAGAAAGAGTGACAATGTGTCTCTCTAACCTCTTAGAAAGAAGTGAATGACTCAAAGAGTCAAGTGAATTGTGCCAAATGAATTAAAAGAAGTGCTTAAGGGAAGATGGAACCCACTTGAACAAAAAAAATATGACCTACCCTAATCCAAAAGCCTTCACAATGACTCCACAAAAGCCTTATATGATCTTGAGTTGAATGAAGCTTACATTAGTGGATACTTACATAAGGGGCAAGCATATGGTACCTAGAGCCAAACTTGTGACCTTTTCTTGAGAGAGATGAGTGAATTCCCATTAACCTCGATTTATGTGTCAATACTCTAAAAGATGAGGTTTGCTTAGGGAAAGTTGAGGATGTGTGAGTTTGGGTTCCACAGCGACCAAAGTAATTGAGAGAGTTCTTTGATGTAATGAGTCAACTCTTGATGCTCTTGTATCACACTTGATCCATGGTTTTTCAAAGGTCAAATGTTGTTAATGATGCATTCGTATTGAGGGCAATTGTTAGTCCCAATTGATGCTTGTTGAAGTTACTTTAGGATAGCTGGAAATTCTTCAATTTTACCTTAAGGGATGGGTCTTATTTTGTTTGCTTGAGGACAAGCAAAAGCTTAAGTTTGGGGAAGTTGATAACTAGGGATTTTGTAGTGTTTTACGCTCCTTCTTGCTTACGCTTTGGTTATAAATTGTTACAAAAATAGTCCCAAAAGGCTCATAAGTGTGCTTGTTTGCAGGTTTGATCGACAAAGTGATGAAATGTCAAAGTTCGGCTCAAAAGGAGTGAAACTTGCTCAAGCACAAAAGACAACGCAAACTGAGGGCAAAAAGGCCTAGTGCGGCCGCATTCGACTTTGTGCGGTCCGCACTAGGTGATTCAGAGAGATGGCAAAACCAGGCTTCAGGCAACGCAGCCGTGGTACCCATAGCGCGGTCCGCAGTGGAGGCTCCGCGGCCGCACTACCAGTTTGTGCGGTCCGCGGAAGAGAGATTCAGAGAGCTAACATTTGCCATGGTTGAAGCTGCACGGTCCGCGGTCATACTTGTGCCGCATTAGAGACCTCCGCGGCCGCGGTCTATTCTACGCGGTCTGCGGAGCCCAAGTTCAGAGAGCCCAGATTTTGAAGTCCAAGAGCCTAGTGCGGCCGCGGTCCATTTTGGCATCTTAGCTCCAAATTAACGATAGATTCTTGTATTTTAATTTAGCATCTAATTAATATGTCTTGTTCTTCATCTATTTCTTCATTTTCTTCTTCAAGCATGAGTAGTTAAACCCATTAGCTAGGGTTGTGGCTCAACCCTAGTGTGGGTAATTGATGGGTGTTGCCATCTAGGGTTAGATTGACTATGAGTGTTTGCTATTTGGGTTGATTTTATGTTTTAATCTATGAATTGGTGGTTGCAAACACTGATTTGAGCTTTGTTGATTTGACTCTTCTTGAGAGAGAGAGTCTAAGTCCAAAATTGACCCAACAAGGAATTGGGATGGACTCATGAGAAATGATTGTCCCAATTAACGGGTTAAACCTCGAGAGAGTAATCACCCTACTTGAACCCTAGTTGCTTGATCTAATTTGCCTACCAATTTGGTCTCGAGAGAGTCAATTGGGCAAAATCACTCTCTCTACCGAGAGGTGTGAGAGTGGGTAAAATTGTGCAACGGTCATAGCATAAGCCCCAATTATGTCAATCGAACCTTAGTAGCATCTACCTGTCAATTAGCCACCTAGGTGATCGTCACGACCCGTAGTCGNCTAGGTGATGTCACGACCCTAGTGCCCTTCTTCCCATTAGATACAACCTTAGCAATTATTTCGTAGCATAATCTAGTTTCAATTAGTAGTTTGATAATAGTAGTTTATAATTGAAAAACCCAAAAATGTTGGAAGTGACATTTTGAACAATTACACGACTCTAGTCTAGATAGATACCCGGCTCCAATTTCTAGCTCTCTGAGGAATTCGATCCCGACCCTCATATTGGGTAAAAGCTATTGCGACCCTCTCTTCCTACTTTATAGTAGAAGGGAGTTGGCAGCGATCAGGGCCCATGTCTCAGAATCAGGTAAAAATCACAAAATATGAACACCCATTCACTCACGAGTTCACTCGTACAAAATTATCCAAATCCGATGTCAAAATCCCAATCAAAACTCGAAATGTCAGTTGAACAACTTTTTTCCATTTTTCTAAATTTTTCACCCCAAATCCAAAATTAAATGATAAAATAAATGATAGATTAGTGGGATATAACCAAAATCAAGTTAAGAATCATTACCCAATTGATATCTCTGAAAATCCCTCAAAATCTCGTCCAAATTCGAGCTCCCAAACTCAAGTTTTGATAAAAATGGCTGACACTCGATTTTGAAATGTTTAAGTACTGCCCAGTAATTCCTTAATTGCAA